AAAAGTTAAATTTTAATTCCATAGGGAAAGCAATTTGTTGAATTTTAGATTAAAATCAAAGTTTTAAGGACTAAAATGAAATCTATTTTATAATAGGATGACTTGTTCTTTTATTTTTGATTTTGGGGGTATTTTAGGTAGTTTATGTTAGTTGAATAGTCATAGGGTATTTTGGAAAGGGTAGGCTTTAATTTTGGGTATTTTCAATAATTTCCCAAACAATGGGTTGTGCAATGAAAACGGATAGATACAACTTCCCTCGTTCCTATTTTCTCATTTAATTTACTGTTGAGAATGCTAAGATTTTACAATCATCGATGTTCTCTTATTGTAATTTTCTCAATAACTCTGTAGAGATAATCATCACTAGCAACCAAGGAAATAATCAGCAATTTCATTGAACTCATCCAAAGTATAAGGTAAGACAAAAAGGAAAAGAATCCGATAATGGCAGATGGCATAGCCTGTTCCGTTGTTGGGAAGCTTGCAGAGTACTTTTTCCATCCTGTTTTAGACCAAATCAAGTACTTGTTCAACTACAACAGTAACATTCAGAATTTGCAGAATAAAGTTCGAGAACTTGAAAATAAGAGAAATGACGTGAAACAACTGGTTGTTGCTGCCGAAAGAAATACTGAAATCATCAGGGAAGAAGTTTTGGCATGGTTGCTAAAGGTCGATGACTTAAAGGAAAAGGCCAATGGAGTTTTGAACGGAGTAGCAGGTTCTGAAATGGGGTGTCTATTCAGTATATGTCCAAATTTGACGTCTCGTTACGTATTAAGCAGGAGAGCCGAACAATTGACTAGTGAGGCTGATAATCTCAAAGTGGAAGGTCCATTTGAGAGGGTGAGCGATCCTCGATCGCTGGAGCAAGTGTTCAACCTACCTTCCTATATGGTTTTCGAAACAAGGTTATCAACTAAGAAGAAAATCAAGGAAGCTCTAAAGGAGGAAGCTATCAGCATAATTGGGATATGTGGCATGCCTGGAGTTGGTAAGACAACAATGGCAGAGAAAATAGTCAATGAAGTCAAAGATGAGAAATTATTTGAGGAGGTTGCATTTGTAGTTGTATCTAACGATCCAGACATAAACAAAATTCGGGACCAACTAGTGGAAATGCTTGGTCTAAAAATTGAAGAAAAGACAAATGAAATGAGAGCCAGACGACTTCATCAAATCCTTAAAGGCAAAGATGGTAAGAGCATTCTTGTAGTATTAGACGACGTGTGGAAAGAAATTGATTTGGGAACTATAGGAATTCCATCCCCACATGATCGCA